TACGCCCCGGCACATGGCACGACCTCCATGCCAGCAAGCGACGGGCGTCCTGCCCACCACGGGGCGAGCGCCCCGTCCCCTCCTCGGGGATGTCCCGGGGCTGGGGGGGGCTGCGGGCCCACTGGCCAGCATTCCCCACACCCCTGCTCCTGCAGCCCAGGCAGCAGCAGCCCCGCACAGCCACCTCCCGGCCGCCCTCTCCTGCTCAGGACAGCTGTGTTATTAATTAGTGTGCTTACCGGCCTGGCCGCCACATAATTAGTGCATTCAGGCAGCATGTCAACCTCCGCCATCCCGCGCCAACTCTCCCACCTGTCCATGCCAGGCCCGTCTCTCATCTCCCCTCACCCAATGCGGTCCTGTGCTCCAGAGCCAAAATCCCCGAGCGGCTCCAGCTCCTGCCTCGCCTCCCGCCGTGGGACACAGGGCGGCGGGTCCTCACGAACGCTCTTCATTACCTCTGCCTCGTGGGGGCTGAACTTCAGCTGGAAAACAGACCCCAGCTGGAATCGCTTGCCCCCGGACCGGTTTCGGAGCCTGCCGTCTGCAGCGAGGTCTCTCCCTCCCTCCTGGCAGGAGGTGGAAAAAGGGTCCTGGCTCCCGTGGTTTTGTCCTCAGCCCCCCAGGACTCCTGTTCCTGGAGCCCGGCAGGGCTGGCACAGGCTCAGCTACGCTCTCTCCTGTGTCAGAATAGGCTCCTGGCTCTTCTGCTTGCAAAGAAAAAAATCTGACAACCTTTTAAAGCCTCGGAGAAGCAGGAGGTGCATTGGAAAACGGGCGATCCTGGGATTTATTATTTTTGACAATCTCATCATTTTGGGCCTGACTCACGGCTTTTGAATGTTTGGGACGGGTAGCAGAAGGCAAAAGTAGGTTTGCTCAGCACAGGCAGCAAGGACAGGCAGGACAACCTTTTAAAGCCTCGGAGAAGCAGGAGGTGCATTGGAAAACGGGCGATCCTGGGATTTATTATTTTTGACAATCTCATCATTTTGGGCCTGACTCACGGCTTTTGAATGTTTGGGACGGGTAGCAGAAGGCAAAAGTAGGTTTGCTCAGCACAGGCAGCAAGGACAGGCAGGAGGGTCAGGCATCTGTGCAGTGACAAGGCGACGGAGGGAGCCGTCCCTGCTTCCA